AAACTAGCCGCCCCTCAGCAGCAGCCAGACCACAGCGACCACAGGCCACCGAGGCCACAGCGACTCCACGCGCTGTCAGCAGCCGCCCTCGACCGCCCCCCAGTCCCGCGAGTCCAATCCAACAAAGTGCGCCCAGCTCTCCTCCACTGACGGGCCTGGCTGAGACTCGACGGCACTGCTTCTTCTGCCATCGCGGGCTGCTTCTACGCTCTCTGCGGCGCTGCCCTCCTTCTTCGCTTCGCATCCTCTCGTTTTCTGAGCCGGCGCCGTCGTTTCACCCGCCGCTACTTGTCTCCCGCCTCCGCCCCCCCCCCCCAGACGAAGTGCATGTTGACGCTACGCGGATCGGATCTGACCTCTCCCATCTCAGCCCTCCGCGATCCTCTGCGAGCCCTTCCCTCGACCTGAACCCTCGGTGCGAAGCGAAGGCCGACTCTGTCGTTGCTGGGCAGTCACGCGAATGCTGCCTCTCGCGCTCTGCTCCGGACCGTGAGACTCAACTTGGGGAACGCTACCGCGCATCGCTCTGCCTGCGGCCGTGGCCTCGCTCCCAATTGGACCCCATATCACCTACGAGCGCCGTCCCAAGCTGATGCCGGCCGTTGCCGCCACCCCTCGCCGACGACTGCTAGACTCCTGGCGTTGAAGACGGGGCAGAATCACCATCTCCGTCCCCTGGGCTGCACGACGAGCACGCGTTCGGGAGGAAACACGCAGCACCACCCGCCATGGCAACCGACCACAGCAACGGACCGCCTGTGGACGCTGCCCGCGACGAGGGCCCCAACGACTACGCGAACGAACACGCCGGCCACGCAGACGCCAGCTGGCAGAACGGATCAGCACAGGCGCCCAACCCGCCGCCATCATCAGCAGGTCCCAGCGGCCCCTTACCGCCCGCAGCAGGATATGCCGACGAGCCCACAAATGGCAGCGATGCGAGCCGGCCGCGACCGCGAAACGGCGGACGATCTGCGAGTGCCCAGGCGCGAGTCTGCAAAAAGTGCGGCCTGCAGTTGACGGGACAGTTCGTCCGGGCTCTGGATGGAACATTTCATCTCGACTGCTTCAAGTGCCGAGTAATGCTCCCACCCCCCCTCTCCCCCCCTCTCTCTCTCTCCTCTCTATTCTCTTCCTCTCCCCCCCCCTTCGCTCTTTAGTCCCATCTCTCCTTTCTTCCCACCCCACTTTCCCACCTCTCTACCGCGAGATGTACTAACTTCGCTTGACAGGATTGCGGCGAGATCGTGGCATCCAAGTTCTTCCCCGCAGAAGACGAAGACGGACAATATCCTCTCTGCGAGACGGATTACTTTCGACGCCTTGGTCTCCTATGCCACCAGTGTGGTGGGGCCCTCCGTGGGTCATACATAACCGCCCTCGACCACAAGTATCACGTTGATCACTTTACCTGCTCCCTCTGTGCGACTGTCTTTGGCGCCCAAGACAGCTATTACGAACACGACGGACACGTCTACTGTCACTACCACTATTCGACGCAGTTTGCCCAGCGGTGCAATGGCTGCCAGACGGCCATCCTGAAGCAGTTTGTCGAGATCTTCCGCAACGGGCAGAACCAGCACTGGCACCCTGAATGTTACATGATACACAAGTTCTGGAACGTGCGCCTGGCCCAGCCGACCGAGGCGCCGCAGATTCCCGAGGGCGATGTGAGCGACTCCGACAGAGATCGTATCCGCGAGGACGAAGAGCGCATGGAAGACAAGGTCTTTAGAATATGGAGTGTGCTGTCAACGTTTGAAGAGTCGTCTGCCGCGTGCATATCCGACATGCTGCTTCACGTCAGCAACGCCTCGTACGTGGACGGTGTGCTGGTTGCGAAGCGCTTCATCTGGCACGTTGAGATACTCTTTCAGTCTGCCGATAGGTTAGACGCCTCTGTCTCAAGTCAAAACGAGAAAGGTAAGCTTCGCAGAAGGGGAGGGGAGGTGAAGGAAGACCAACGTCGAATGCCCCAAGCGGGGGACAAGAGACCACGGAGCTTGGCGCTAATTGGATCATCCGTCTAGGCATGTCTTATGGCCGCGAGGCCAAGCTTCTCTGCAAGAAGATTGTAGCCTTCTTCTCTCTGCTTTCAAAGACGCAAGACAATGGAACGCGGCAGCTCGGCGTCACGCAAGAGCTCCTGTCCCTCGTCACTGGCTTGGCCCACTACCTGAAGCTGCTCATCCGTATTTGCCTCCAGGGGGCATTGCGCCTGGAGCGAGAAGCGACTTCTAGCGATGGCCTTCACCAATTCCTCGACGACCTGAACGACTTTGAGAGCTACAAGGGCGACGAAGGCCTCTTGCAAGTCACCATGGGAGGCAAGCGGCTTTCGGCCAAAGACTCAGATCACTGTGCGCAGTGCGGCAGATCCGTAGAGGATGAGTGCGCCAAAACCGGTGATTCGAGATGGCATCTCAACTGTGTCAACTGTTCTCGCTGTCAGCGCGAGCTTGGTCGAAAACTAAACGAAGCTCACTTCAACGCATTGGAGCGCAAGATTTACTGCGTCACTTGTGTCGGAGGCAGACTCGACGGCCTCGCACCATTTACCCACATCTCCAAACTTCAACAATACGTTTTCCTCCTCAAAGTTGCTCTGGCACGATTGCTGGATATCCTCAGGAGCAACGGTGCCCTGGCATCCGGCGAGATCGGCCCCGACGGAAAGAATGGCAGCTTGCGCCAGAAGGCAGACGCCAGGGCAGGGCAACCGGGCGGTCCGAATGACAAGAGCCGCCGTCGTGAGTCAACATACGAGACTACCCTCAATGAGGTCCGACGACTTCGCAGCACACGTCTCGACCGGCACTTGTCATCTAGTGTTAGGCAAGCCCGGTCGTCTCGCGTCATCGACGCCGATGGGCAGGGTCCCCGTCCTGCGTCCTCTGGAGGAGAGCAGGCATCCACCGACCAGATGTTTGGGCAAAACGATGCCATCACCTTGGACGACATTTCTCGCATTGTTGCTGTTGAGCAGTCTCGTGAGCAGCAACAGCGCCGAGACAAACTACCACCCAGCGATGTCCTGCGATCCGGCGGCCCAGACCAGGGTCTCGGCCTCGGTCACTCCAGGACACAGTCGATCGGGCCGGATCTCCAGCCAACGGATACCGTGGCGCCCCGAGTGGGCAGAAAGTTCTTCACCGAGCTGTCGGGTCTCGAGTATTTCAATGTCCGGCACCTTGCCGTCTTGATTATGCACCCCGTGGTCGAGCAGGAATTCACATTGGAGGAGCTGTTGAGCTTTATCGAGTCGAGGAAACCTGCCACGTTCTGGAAGAATCTGGGCAAGGCGTTCAAGAACGACAAGAGCAAGGCTGTCAAGAAGAAGGGCGTCTTTGGCGTGCCCCTGGAGGTCATCATTGAGCGAGATGGCGCCGACTCCACGGATGGCGTGGGACCCGGCACTCTGCGAATTCCCGCAGTCGTCGACGACATCATCTCGTCCATGCGCAAGATGGACCTCTCCGTTGAAGGCGTGTTCCGAAAGAATGGCAACATCAAGAAGCAGCAAGCCATGGTTGACAAGATCAACGCGGAAGGCTGCGATGCCGTCAACTTCATGGAACAGCCCGTGATACAGCTGGCAGCGGTGTTGAAGAGGTACTTGCGAGACCTTCCAGACCCCCTCATGACGCACAAGCTGTATCGACTCTGGATCACTGTTGCCAAGATACAGGATCCCGTCCGAAAGCTGCAGTGTCTACACATGGCCACCTGCCTCCTCCCCAAGAGCCATCGAGATTGTCTGGAAGTTCTCCTCAGCTTTCTCAAATGGGCGGGTACTTTCCACCAGCTGGACGAGGAGGTGGGATCCAAGATGGACGTTCGAAATCTGGCGACGGTTATTGCCCCCAACATTTTGATGAACCCTGCCAGGACACTCTCCATGGACAGCGAGACCATATATGTGATTGATGCGGTGGAGATGCTGATTGACAATATCGAAGAGATGTGCCAGGTAAGTCATCCAACATGAAAGAGGGTGATGAAATGTAAACCTAACTAAAACCACTTATCCAGGTCCCGGATGAGATTCTTACACTGCTCAACGATCCCCATCTTTTCGGCAACAATGGCGAAATCTCTACCAAGGAGATTATGAAACGATACCAGGAGATCAGAGGACAGGCCCCTTCCGAGCCCAGCGAAGTCTACAACCGGCAGGAGACGTCGACTCGCTCGCCACCGAAGCGAGGTGAGACGGATCCGTCCGTCTGGCAGGGCGAGAGATCAGTCCGGCCTATGCAGGACAACCACACGCTCCCTACAGGGGGTACCAGTTCACCGGTACCGCCGCCGCGGTTCAGGCCCCCCGAAGACCAGCCCTCTCCATATGATGCCAACCAACGTGATCACCCCGATCCCCGGGCGGAGAACCCTGAGCATAGTCAACGTGGAGAGTGGCGGAATTCCGGCGTTTGGGGCCGCCAAGGCGGCGGGGTAGGTGTTGGCGAACCGTTTTGATTTTCTCACGTATCGTTTTCAGGGGGCCAGACATGATTTTTGTTTGTCATGTCTGTGTGTGTCTTGTTGTGTGTTTTAGTCTTGTCCCTTTTTATAGGAAACACGGCCCGGAAACGGTTGTCATTTTTTTCTGTAGCATTTTCTCCGGGCGTTTTATTGATCGCTTTTGTCCCTACTCTTCACTGCAATGCAACAGTCGAGACCGCGCATTTCTCCACGTTGACGTTCGACGCAACCAAGTCCTGGCGATTGCTCTTCTTCCTACCGTTTTGCTTTTCTCTTTGCCTTTTTTTTTGTTCTCCCTTCTTCTCTTCTTTTTTTGCTCATATCTTCGTCAGCCCTCCCCCTTTTATTTTTCAAATTTGAATTCGCTTTCTTCCTGAGACGGTCCTGGTTGGCACTCTAAAAAAAAGTTTTAAACGTTCTGTACGAGCGAGAAGTTGGATGTGTGTTGTGGTGGTTGTCTGTCTGTTGTAGCAAAAACAAAAAGTGGCATATATAAGCGAGCGAGTTTGTCGCCAAATATGCATGCAAGTTTGCTTACTTTTTACCTCTTTGTGTGGCTGTCTTTTTTTTTCTTTTATAGTTGTATGGAAATTGAAGAAAAAGAAAAAAAGTCAACAAAGACGATTTCTCTCCGCCGGGTTATCTTAATATGCTTTCTCTCCTTGGAATTTCCCCCCTTGTTCTAGCTGGCTATGCTTGCAAAAGGGAGTATGATGAGTTTTGACAGTTTGTTGTGAAAGCAAGAAGGGAATATCTGAATTTTCGTTGCTTGTAATTGCTTTACTGGTTCTTCATGTGACTTAAGGAGAGAAGCTGGACTGACTGCTTTGCCTCCCTAACATGGAGGAGCAAGGAAAAACGTGGAAGAGGAAGAGAGCTGGCCCACAGTCGAAGGGTATCTGGGGGACCTTTTCCCCTTATTTTTCTCTATCCATACGCCTTTTTCTATCTATGTGGCTCTGAAGAAGAAGAAGGAGAAGAAGAAGGAGAAGAAGAAGAAGAAGAAGAAGAAGAAGAGGAAGAAGAAGAAGAAGAAGAAGAAGAAGAAGAAGAAGAAGAAGAAGAAGAAGAAGAAGAAGAAAGGGGCTGGGTGGATAAAAGAGTAAGCAACTACTTGTGTTTTTCCTCTGCCGGTCAGGAGAATTTAATCGCCTACTTTTGCTTCCCTCTTTTTCATTCTTTGACCTTATTTTTCTCATTCATGTTTTACTTGAATAGCCTATTCATTTGATCTTTTGGACTGCGAGGGGAGAAAGTGGTGCTTGAACGGTGGGAGTTGTGTTGTTTCCTCTCTTATAAAGATGGAGTGGCAGAGAGGATGGAGAGCAACTGAGATGGGGGATACTGCGAGAATATATAAAAAGAAGAAGAAAAGCCCTTTGACTCCAACTGCTTTCTTGTCCCTCTTCTTTGTATGTGAGACAGTTCGGATGTATAGGTCCTGTAATAGTGTTTCTTCTTCCTGAAGCTATCATCATTTACTTCATGCGGGTAAAGAAAAGATGTATACCTATTAAAATACATATATATATTTGCCGATGTTATATGTCAACGCACATGGCCGTATAACCTGCTTCCTGTGCCATCTAAATCATGCCAACTCATCAAGAATTATGTAAAAAACTTCCCACCTCCTTTTTTAGTATCATGTTCCCGCCGCGTCTCAACGTCTCCGCATCATATAAATCACTGCGACTTCTTGGCCTCGTCCCTCTTCTTCTCCTCCAGAAACCACCCCACGCCCCGATCAATGCCCTCCTGCAGCGTCCACAGCGGCTCGTACCGCAGGACCCTCTTGGCCTTGCTGATGTTGTAGTAGCGCGTCATGGTCGACACCATGGCCCGCAGCCTCGTAAACGTGGGCGTCTTCCCGACCAAGCCAAAGTAGAGCTCGCTCGCGGACCCGAGCAGGAGGCTCATGCCGCGCGAAATCTCCCACACGCCGTCGGTGCCCCTGTCGCTGCCCGCGGCCCGCCACACCGCGCGCGCAAAGTCCCAAAAGTATACGGGCGAGTCGTTTGTGACGAAGAAGATCTCGCCGTCGACGCGCTCGT